GCTGGTTCACACGAGTTGTCGTCCCGGTCAGAGCCAAACTTTGACCTGAATGTTGAGTTGAGATCACGTTTGGGGGACGATCCATACCAGCCACATAGCTATGGGTGTCCACAGAGTTGAGTGTGGGGACGGAGATCGTGTAGTAGCCTGGTGATACAGCAGTAGGAGTTGACGAGCCCTCGGGGCAGTACACTCCAATCCCTCCGCACTCGAGTGGACGAAGTGCACCTGTACATCGCTTTCAGGTGGCGCACACCAAATGCAACGCATACCAAGGGGGCAATAAAAACCTGCACGACAATACGGCACGACGCACGTCGAGTGGGTACAAGTTGTGGAACAGTGCTTGGACACTTGCCCCGTGGCATTGCCAAACACCCCAGCTGGACATGGCGTTGGAACAACCGTTGCCGCTAAGCTGCGCAAGACATCATGCGCTTGCAAGGGGCGTAGGCGTGAGGTACCAGTAATTCGCCTTGGGGCAAAGACCAGAGCACAGGGACGTTTGGAGTCCTGATGTGGCGCCGTACACTCCAGGGGGACAAGCCACCGGCGTTGGCGACGCAATGGGGCAATACGACCCTGTTGACCTCTTGCGTCATGCATCGGCAGATGAACACGATCTGGACTCACCGGGAGGACACAGACCAGAACATTGCTTTGTCGTGAGTCCCCGCGTTTGTCCAAATGTTCCTGGCGGACACATGTACTGAATGCCTCGGACACAAAAGTGTCCAAGTTCGCACTGGGCTTGCGTTGCTGCGGTGTAGGGCTCCGACGACACCAAGTCACTCAGACTCGTCCCGTCCGAACTCTTCACGGTGAAGTACCCCGACGAAACTATGCGGCGCTGGGGGGTTCCTGGGGGGCAATAGTAGTTGGGGGAGCCACACTGTTGTTGCGTGGGTGACTTTGAACCCATCTAGCCAGCACTCTACAATGAGGCAAATCGGAGGTGCCCTTGTCGTACGGGACAATAGTAACCCCCGCTGCATGGCCCAGAGCACAGAGGGGTCGCTAGGCCTCGCACAGATCCAAACGTCCCAGCTACACATTGAATCGTGAATCCCGTTTTAAATCGAGGTATAGTAAAGCACACCTGGGCATAACGTGCACACACCGTTGCTGGCCATGAACGACCCTGTTGGACACAACATCGTTGCCTTTGCTCGGACGACGAGCCATGCACCGAAGACGTTCCAAACATGCCACGCCATCGTTTGGACTGGCACATGAACGTAACAGTCACGGAAACTGCCATTGGAATCCCAGTCAAATGCCCCACCGCGAAGGCTACGCGTCGCATCGATCGACGAGAACCAAGGACGACGAGATACGTGATGAATGCCGTGGTCACGAGCTTGCACTACTCAAGCGTCGACTCTTGCAAAGGAAGCAAAACGCTGTACCTGAACAAGCGCGTGCACCTCACATCCACTCCATGGTGGGGTTGCGAGGACGAGGGGCCGCGCGTCCACTTCTGCACCTGTCCAAGACGCCACTTACCCCACAGACCGTCATGCCCGTACCAAGACGATGTGTGCTCCCGGTGCCGATGACATCGAATCCACCAGTCGAAAACATTCTGTCATCTTGCAGTCCGACATCCCTTCTCTTACCCGATGTTGCAAGTCGGATACGCCACCGAGTCCCCCTATGATGTCAGCCAACTCGTATCATAGCATAGCCCCCTTGACGTCATCTCACCACGAGGACTCCAGCCATCAAATAACGGCGCGCGAAGAGTCTGTCGAGGAGTGCCCTTCAAGGCCTCCGCCAAGTGAAGCGCATTCGAATGGGCGTGACCATGACGACGCCGCTCTTGTCTGCGTGCTCCACCTTCCAAACGAGACACCCAGCATTCCAGATCCCGCCACTCCGCTACCTATGGAATGTTTGCTCCCTGAGGATGTGCTAGTGCGCAAATCCTTTCAAAAGGTTGTCGTGACATGGACGTGCACCACGTGCACTCGGGAATGCATTCCAGTCCGGGACGAGAGTCGTTGTCTATGGTGCCGCCTCGTTCTGGCTGCGTTTGGGTACTCACATTGTGCGTAGTGGCCACCGCCTCAAGGATCACCCGAGTTTGAGCACCGATACACGCGTAAAGGACAAGGCTACATTCAACGCGTTCGCGTGCACGTCGGCAAAGTGTCCGTGCCGGTCGTTCTTCTACATTGTTGCCGAAGGCGCGTGGGTGCTCCGGTGCCGATGCAAACACAAACACATTGACCACGACGCGACTGCGGCCCCATTTCGGTGCAAGAAGTGTCTGTGCGACGGGTTTCACAGGTGTGTCGTCGTATCGATCTCGTCCTTGCTATCACGTTGTCTTTTGTCGTGTAGCCCTTGGGTTTGCAACTGTGGCCATCCATGGGACGAACACGTCCAAGCCCAAGTTGTAAAAACGTTTACCCCCTTGCAAATGGATCTCGGGGCTGAACTCGGACAAGTCTACCGAACAGATCTAGTGGCCGAGCCATTGCGTCTGTAACAACACCAGATCCAAGTCGACCCACCTGACCACAATGGCACAACAACAATCGTGTTCATGTGCTCGACTTGTTGGTCACAGCCATTCTAACGTTAGGCTATGCTTGTCCAACAAACGACTTTTTTTAGGTTCGAACAGCTCGAGCCACCAGCCAAAGACGTACATGAGCCAGACAAGCGCAGCTATCTTCCGCACAGACCAAGAGGCCGAGCCATTTGCGCCTGTAGCAACTCCAGACAATGTCGATCCACCTAGCCACGATCGCCACAACTAACTATCGTGTTCACGT